TATTTTGTTCTTTATATACGTACATTAAACGTATTTTATAAATATTTTATGCTTTAAACATTGGACAATGTTATACTTATCAAGTTTTAATGCTTATTTACCAAAGAAAAATAATAAATAGATACCTGTTTTATTTCTATCGATCCATAACTTTGTAAGCTTTTAAATGGTCTTTCAGATCTGAAACAAAAAAATATATTATAAAAATATAGCATTAAAATAAATTAATAACAGTAAATAACACAACATGATAATAACAATAAATTATGTCAATGTCGGAAGAACAAATATTAAACATTCTTTATAATTACAATACAAAAGTAAGTAGGTACTTATTGTACAAAAAGAGGTAAAATAATCTGGAAGTTTTTTACATATTCAGAATTATTATCACGGTGTATATTATATACTTTGTGAGTATCATGGACTATAAAAAGAGATAAGCACGAGCCCGCGGTCTTCGTAACGATAAATACGAACAAAAGCACGGAAATCGAACGGAGATCGCTTTCCTTCAATGGTTACTTTATATGTAAATTTCTTGCAATAAAATTGGGAACCCTTCTCCTAGCTTTATATAAAGCACGAGACTTATTTTTATGTATTTGCGATTTTTATTGCTATTGATTTTATTTATCGATTGCAAACATCTTTGCAGTGAACACAATTTTAAAATTTACGTCGTTGAAAATGCTTATGCCATTTTTAAACACTACTATCTTTTAATTCAACCTTATAATTGAACAAGTAAATATTTTTTTTTTAAATAATTATGTAAATAAGCGCAATAAATTAACTTCCGTAATATGTAGATAATTAGCGCCAAAACGTTCCGCATACGCTCTAGTTTACGACTACGAGCTTTATAATAAAAATCTCTAATAACATTCCACCGTCGTGTTTCTCTCATCCGGACTTTCATAACAACGGCATTTCACCTACGAAATCATAAACAAGAAATATGTAACTATCCAATTATACATCATATCTGTTTTTCTTCATAATTTAAGTAATATTCCTTTGGTAAGCGGCGATACAATCTTTAAATTATTATACATGATATCTGAGATTCACGCCTTTAGTTTTTTTCTCCCAATAAGCTTGTAACTAGAACCGGCTACACTATAAACTCCATAACAAACTGCCACATGAAGCCATATCTTGCGTACATTATGAGGTTTTTCGTTTAAGCCAGAATATCTGCATCACATGTTAAAAATGTTATATGATCATGTAACCCACATTCAAATAAGAACCCTCGTACAAAGCTTTTATGTCGAGTTTTCGTCTAATTTATTTTGCAGTAGAATGTAAAAAACAAAGGCGTGAACCGCCCTTTAGATGTTTTACTTAACAGTTCATAATACCAAGCTATAGATATAAAACCGAACCTATTTCACTAAATAAACATTTTATGTTTAGAAATTCCAACTGGTCTTGGATGAGATCAGAAAGATAAAAAAGCAGCTCACTGAGCATCAATACATATCTATAATAGAGACAAAAGTTTAAGCAATGTTAATTAAAATATCTCGAAAACATACCCCGTCGAGACCGCTGTTGGAGCAAAATATAGTCTTGTTGATATACAAAGTGCTTACTTATATATTTTACATTCATCAACGCCACCCACTTAGAGTGGTTCTCACAGAGTAGGTACCAATAAACTTAAGTCAAGAATGGTTCATTCTCATTACGACAATGTTGCGTGGAACATCTAAATTACTTATTGAGCGGCTGTCCGCCTGAGTTATAGTAGCATAAATTAAGAGCGTGAGATACGCCCTTCGCAATACTCACCTACAGGACCCCTATCGCCTGCCCTGTCCAAAGTTCCATTATCTTTTACAAGAAATTATTACCCTGCTTCATTTGATTATCTCCATGTATGTATATCATCATCGATTTCAAAATTGCGTGGAGTTAAATACTGTGATATTCATACAATCCATATTACCAAAAGTGTGAACACCTATATTTTATGTGTTTTATGAGAATGCAGTAAAAGTTAAAATGTACGTGGGACATTTATAAACATGTCAACTGCAATAATGAAAATTCAGAACACTGAAAATTGAGTTCATCGAGCGAGTTTTTATGTTTCCGTGAATTTTGCATCATTTATACCATATAGGTAGATATTATATGGTTTATAAAATTTGAATTATAAAAACATTTAGCGTACTGAAACGGACCTCGAGAGGCACTCTCATATCGCTGCTCACAATTCTTTTGTGCACTGCCCGAATTGCCAACATAAAACTCGTAGTCTCTTCTATTACGTGACGCCTTCAGTCTTTTACCGTCTACATTACTACATAAGTATTCTTATCAGTCCAAAGCGAATCACGTCTTTCTTATTTCTTTTTCCCGGCCCGAAATCGTAAAATATATTATTAAAGCCGCCTCGAGAAATTTAAGAGGGAGCGAAAAACTTTTACAATTAATGTTGTAAGAAGATATCAGCAAAGTTTTTTTCATCACGTAGTGGAGGGGTAATGAACATCTCGACTAAGGAACCTCGTAAAAACACCATACAACTTAATAAATAAAGTTAGAATTCGTGAAGATTTATCACGAGGCATATTTCGTATCATGACTTAAGCCTGAGGCGTGTTCACCGCATACAAGGATAGGACCGACACTATAAAAATAGATATATATCATTCTTATATACCGCCTCTAATATTTACAAGAGCCCGTATGAAATATTTTGACATTTCTAGGTAGAAAACGTACCGCATTGCGGCGGAATGGGACGGGTGTTCCTTCGTGGAAACATTGTAGTAATAAAGACGTCAACCTTCGTATTCCGATTAGATACCAAATACAATTTTTATCAAGATTTAAGAAAAATAAAGCTTTTTTCAATTTATAACCCAAAAAAGATAAAGCTATAGCTAGCCAATTTTCAAATAAGTTTATTGCTTTACGTAGGTAGTACTTTTTCTTTTTGCAAACGTTGATTTTGGAAACGATTAAAATGTGACATTTTATATTATACTAAGTAGTAGTAACCGACTTCCCCTGCGTTTAAAATTCCGATCGCTACCAAACTTCACAGGATCACCCTGCTGGGCTAATCTGAAGATTGCCTGAAAATTTCAACATAATCACTCCGTGCCGTTTTAGAGTCCATAGGGAAAACACATCAATTTTTAGGTATATAGAAGATTTCTAAGGCATTTAACCTACGCCGCAATTATCTATTAGGGTAAATATAAAAATAATACTATTAATGTGTGTATATATTTTATTTCTTTACATTTTTATATAGTATCTTATATGAGAGACAACTTCCCTTAGTTAGATTTTAAGCAAATCGTACAATTTTTTAAATATATATATATACATTTGCTTTGTTATATACATACATAGACAGTGACGCTTTACATAAGTTGCGCTCAGTAAATAACAGGAAGGTACAAAATCTAATAGTTATTCCATCCACGTTTGAACACAGGTGATGCGAAGTGGAGATACAGAATGGATCGTGTTTTATTGTTATTCCCACTCTGCGAATTGAATTTGAAACAGTACCGCGGCGATCAATACTGAACTACTGCAAACCCCCATTTACGTACAGTTTTACTACTGACAGTAAGGCTCACTGTAAGTACAGAAATTATAATAGGCACCTAGCGTAAAGTTATAACTGTAAATTAGTATGCACAAAATATTATACATTGAACTATGACGTTTTCAACCGACTTCAAAAAGGAGGAGGTTCTCAATTCGACTGGTTTTTTTTTATGTTTGTTACCTCCGAACTCCGTCATTTATTAACCGATTTGGATAATTTTTGTGTCGTTTGAAAGTGTATACTTCCAGATAAGTCCTTTTTAAATTTCAAAAAAAATACTACCCTTAAGGGTGGAAAAATAGCTAATGATGAATTTAACCTACTTTTAATTGTCATATTGACTTGAAACTTTGCAAGTGTTTCTATTTCCGTTGATAGTACAGTGGTTAGGTATTGTTGACCTGATCTGATGGCAAGGCCAGAAGGTGGATAGGTGGAACTCTTCAACGGCTAATAGTAGATTATTTGAGTTTGGGCTTATTTTGTTTGATTTGACAAGCCTAACACGTTAGAATTCTTACTTCGCTACTACAAGACAGTAACTGTCTACACTAAAAAGGGAAAAATAAAAACTTTTTAACAAAAAAATAAAAACCGACTTCAAACAAAAGCACTAAAAAGTAAAAAATAACTGATTGGTATTAAAAAGTTTTTACTATAATACTATGTTATAAAAGCAAGTTTTAACAACTTTGGTATGAAATCTAATAACTTCAAAATATTGAAAAAATAATAAGGAATTAATAAAAAGTTTTTTTTTTAATTTCTCTTATGTGTATGTGAAAATACCGATTAAATTATCTATCGCAAGTGCCGTTTATTGAAAGTAGTTATAAGAAATACCTCATATAAAGATTTTTCCCAAGTGCTATTTAATATAACATTGAAATGTGACTGTGGATACTATTGTTAGTCTATAGAACTTACAAAGCTCTGTGTATTTGGTTCAAATTTAATTTTGTTTTAGAGCCCGGCTCCGTCGGCTTACTCGGGCGCCATTATCTGAGCCGTTTTATCTCCAATGTAATCTTGTTAAGAGGCCCCCTTTGCGTCTGCACCCGCGACCCTCTGAGGAAGCAATAATGCTGAAATCACCGGTTTTCGGAGCTTAAACTAAGCCACGCATTATGATGAAATTCTAGGCCAAAGGAGTATTATAAATATTATATATAATACATACTTATTTTCAATATACCTAAAGTTTTTAAATATATAAAAATAATGTTTTTACATTTTCTTTAAATAAATATGGATCTAGTTCATAACATAGATTATCCACTCTTAATAATATATAAATTGACTTATATATTTCTTCTTATTCTAATTCTTATCTGTAATGGCTTGTCACATTGACACCCAAACTTTTCGATTTATTATTTTATATTATCGAAAAAAAATTTTTTTCTATCTGAATAGAATGCCGCTTTTAAATAAGATACCAAAATTAGAACGTTGTTGCGGATGTGTCACAGACCTTAAAGTCGCTGCGGCTATAATCGCAGTTCTTGGTATTGTAAGTAATTATGGATGCAATGGCACAATTTTATATCTCCAAAGTCTATTTTATCTCAACTTATTAACACTATATATTTAAAAAAGAATGTACTTAAAATATTAAGTATTTCAATAGGTAATACAACCTTATAAAAATTATTACAGTAGCTATAATATTTTGTCATCTATATTAACCAATAGGTACCTATACATATTATTTATATTAGGTACCTGGACGCCTGGCGTTTTTTTTTGTAAATGTTTTTTTCCGAAATGTTGATTTTTCAGAAGTGATACCTATACCTACATATATGCGGATAAACTTATTAAGCAAAATCCTTACATTATGTTAGACCAGATTCCGAGATACACGAAATAAGTATATTTATAACTATACAAGAATGGCTCTTTATTTAATTTTTTACTTCTTTTTTCAGGTAACAAGCCCTATTATTTCTTGGGTGATAGTGAGGCATGCATATGTTATACGAGTCACATGTGTTGTAACGACGAATATATCACGCCCTGACGTTATAGATATAAATCTTCACAATGCTGTAAGTCAGTATAGTATTTTTTATTCAAAATGTAAAATGCAATTCGGTACTTTGGATGATATAGTATTTTTTAACTTTGTTTATTTAAAATATATCCTTAAAATGTTATACTATTTAAATAGGACATTATAAAGTAAGATATTATGATACCTATTTTCGGATGTGCATATTGCTTAATTTAATAAAAACATTTATTAAACCCTGTCAATTATTTATTATTAAACGAAATCAGGAACATTGGAAAGAAATATAAACCTTCTCGATAGTTTACAGTCACAATGTCACGTGTGAAACCTACAATTTCTGTTAAATATTTAATTCGCTAATAATTTATGTACCTTCCTATATGATCCATGTATTTTAACCAAAATTTTGATAGCAAGATTACGTCTAATACAAAATATTCGTATAAAACCCATAGCTCTTTAAAAAATTTCGCTGTTTATAAAAGTGTTTTCTTCTACAGCTAAGTTTCGGTTTTGGTGCAAATGCTGGCCTTGGTCCATCTTGTCTGAGCATTACATCTGGTAATGACGCCGCCGGAAGTAGAAGCAAATCAAACTTTGTTCAATTTGTTAGATTCAGCGGATGGGTGGTACTTTTAGCGGATATTGCTTTCCTCATTAGCAGTGTCAATTTCCTCATCAAAATCTTTAAGGTAATATTATTAGAAGATATTATGCTTAAATTTTAAATGGCTCTTCAAATACGATCTGCATTAATAAAACTAATAAAAATAGGTATTAACATAATACACAAATAAATACAAACAAAGTATTTTTAATTTATTTGGCATCAAAGCATGTCATCTATTATAAGAAAATCTAATTGATTTAATTAAGAATTCTACTTAATATTGAGTAAAAAATAGTAAGTATTATTTTCTTCTCTATATTTTAATATTTCATAAGTTCACATTATACTTTCTCGTTAATGTACCTACTTTAAAATAAAAATGACCATATACCTACCAGATAATCCCAGATAACCCTCGGTTTTGCAGTTGGGTAAAAAAACATAAGAAGAGCTTTTTCTGTGTGTTTATATGTGTTGATAATTTTGATTTACAGTCTATGTTTTACATTTTATTTAACGAACATACCTTAACCTAAATACCTAGTAATTTATATAATATATCATTTTTGATTTTTGGTTACAGGGTCTAGATAAACAAGCATCACTAGTCTTTATAGGTACTGGTCTACTTTCAATAATACTGTCTTTCATGTACGGAGTATTGTATGTGTCTGCCTGTATGCATGTCGGTGGCAGATTTCCAGTTTTCGAGTTTTTTTTCGCAATGATCGACTTAATAAGTTAGTTTTAACGTATTATTTAAAATTTGTGAATACCCGTTTCTATACATGAACATGTTCATAATAATACTTTTTATTATTAATATTCACTTTGTAAAATAGTAGATTTTTGTATCATACTCTACTTAGATATGAATGATGTAGTAAGTGAAGTAGAATATCCATACTTAATAATATTATAAAAGTGAAAGTGTTTTAGTTCGTTTGTGTGTTTGTTTGTTTGTCCTTCTTTCACGCCGAAACAGAGTGACAGATTGGCGTGATTTTTTGTGTGGAGTTAGTTGGAGAGCTGGAGAGCGACATAACTCACATGAGTAGTTTTCACCGCGAGAGATTATCTCTTTCCCATAGGAAAACACGTTTTAATACAACCCAAGGACTCATAATACTATGTATATATACCTATAAAATAATATAATCTATATAGATTATTATACTTGAATATATATTCAAACTAACCATAGATAACTAATATTTTTCTTATGCAAATCCAACCAACGTATCTAATTACCCTTTTGGTGAAAAGGACATAAGGGTCAAATGGTAAATTATGAAAATAAAATTTAGCTTTGTTTGTAAATTAAAGATAGTAGACACTACTTAAGGCGTGGAAAAAATATGAATACCACGACACTATTTAAAGAAAACCTTTTACCTAATTTAAATTACAAAATAACGATTCCCTTTTGTTTATCATTCATTAATTAATTATATATACTTCGAATTACTACCATTATAAAGCTAACATTTTGTTTTTCAGCGTTGGTTGGCTGGGTTTATTTTATTATCGTGATTAATTCATATTACCACCTCACCCCGCCCATGGTTTCAGTTAGGGAACGATTTATTCAATTCATAACGTTGGTCTTTTTGAACCCTGTATGGATATCTAATAAACTTCGCTACGATATGTTTTGGGTATATATTTTTACCGAATATAGTGTCTGAGTGTTTTTAATTTTCAGTGTGGATCTACTTTTTAATAGTGGTGTATTCCTACAGACGAAGACCTTTCCCTAATCAATCTTAGAAGATGTTTGATATAAGAAAAATTATTATAGAACAAATTGATCGAAAAGATGAAATCTTTGAAAATATATTTTTATCCGCTGAATTCCTTCTCCAGAATTAAAATAATTTTATTACTATGAAAATACATATTATTCTACAATATCCAATTATTTATACATATTACATAATTATTATAGATAACTACACATAGTTTTTTTTATGGTGCTCAGTGATAAACGAGCAGACAGCCCACCTTATGGAAAGCGATACCCGTCGCCCATAACACCTACGGTTTATGCACTTAGATTTTATGTATCAAAAATGCTGAACCGCGGATGCGTTGTCACTGTGAGAACTAAGATGATATACCTCTTGCCTGTAATTTCGCTGGCTACCTTGTCCTTCAAACCGGAACACAATAATGCAATCATTGTTTCTTGGCGGGAGAAATAGATAAGGGGGTGGTACCCATCCAGTCGAACTCCTCGGGCTTACCAGTGTCTAATGAAATTTCTATCAACTGTATTCTCTATGTCAATATAAGTTATGATTCATGTCAATACATTCTTACCTAGAAGCTTAAATATATAATAAAAAATATTTAAAAAATGCTTTGGAAACATCTTTCCTATGAAAGACGTGCTGAAATAACCAAGTAGGTAGGTACCTATTTTAATGTTTTGCGTAATTGTACAGCTACTTCCATAACGTTTAGTGGTAACTGACTAAGTAGAAATACAATCAAAGGGAGATACAGGAGCTAATATTATATTAAACACTAAAAAATTAAATTTATGACATAAGTTTTTATTATGCGCTTACCTTAATATAACGGTAAAATTTTATCTGTAGGTATAGTATAATTTTGTCAAATTTCGCAATTGTTTTGTACATGACATCGTACTAAGAAAAAAAGCTAATAAAGTTATATTTATAAAAAACTGTATTTCATGCAATATATTTTATGGGAACTGTAATTTAGTTTATCGTCGTACGAGTATTAATATAAAAGTCTTCAATGGGATTATTTAAATGGCTTCCAAACGTAAACAGATTTTGTTGGTGTACGAAAAATCTTAAATTTGCCTCTTTCATTATTATATTCCTGGGAATGGTAAGTAAATAACATTACTAAAACAACAACAGACAATTTTTAAATATTCGAGATTTCCTAAAGCTTTTTAATCTTTATTCTAATGTAGATAAACCTTATACAGGCATAGTCACTATAATTTATCTGTTGTAATATATTTTATTGGATTTTATGGAAATAGTATCATCTTTATATGGATTATTATTAATAATATATAGGTACCTTCTGTTTCTAGTTGGCAAGTATGAGTACTGCAAGTGTATTATGCACTCCATTTTGTAAGGAACTCTATTCAAGCTCCAGTCCTTTTAAAACTCTAAGTAATATCCTGAGATGGGTCCTCTTCAGCTGTGAACTAATATTGATGGCCAGTTTGTTCGCTTACCTTTTTGGAATATTTTGGGTAATGATTGTTATAATTATTGTATTTTATTTAGTTGATAATAATGAAAAGAAGCGCTGTTTATTTATTGAGCTTGCCGAGCTTATTTTTATTTATATTAATAAATTTTGTTACAGTCCCAGTCAATTACCGCAGATATTCTTATAGGCAGTGTGTTTTTAACGTGTGTAATCACAATAATATATAGCATTGTAATCATAATACATGGACAGTATACAGGCTGCCGTTGGTACCACTTGCAAATACATAATTTACTCCTGCATACAATTAGTAAGTAATCTATACTAATATTATAAAGAGGTAAAGTTTGTGAATTGTGAGTTTGTGACGTTGTAGGGGGTAATCTCTGGATCTACTGATCTGATTTAGATGAAATTTGGTAAACAGATAGCTAGAGACCCTGGGTAGGACATAGGGTACTTTTTATCCCGGAAATCATCCCTTAAGACGATGAAAATGGGGATGAAAGCTTGTATGGGGAATCAACCTAGGGACGAACACTTTTTTTTTTAACGTTGGGAAATGCATTTACGCACGAGGTGTGGGACTCACCCGCAAAGCCAGTACTACCCACTAAAACCCAACAAAGCCTTCCCCCGTTTTAATGGGGCGTCGCAGGATCGCTTACGCATTCAACTACGACGCCTCGACGGCAGATCTGCCGAACCACGGGGTTGCTCCAAGGTCCACTCTGCTGTCTCCCAGGGACGAACCCGAGCGAAGCGAGGGTGAGTCGCTAGTTTTCAATATACTCAATAGTAAGAAAATGTATTGCTTAACTTGTTTAATCTCTATTTAATAAACATAAACTGATGATGATGAATAAACCTAAAAATATCTATCAGTCAAACTTCATCGAAATCAGCTTAATGTTTTACATTGTTAAAAGTCGTAGAGGCTGCACAGATAGGCTTTTAATTTTGTAATATTAATATACAATAAAAATATTATGTTTGATTGTACCTAGGTATATATTATATAGGTAGATCTAATTCTTAATCTATTATCTTATAATCATTCTTATTTTCAGTGTGGGGATATTTTGTTTTAGTTATAAATACCTACGCAGGACAAATGAATTCTTCTCCGCAATAAAATATAAATGCAAATTGTTTTTTTTATTTTAGCTTTACAACTTTCAATATCCGTCCTTTCAATCTCCGTTTTGTATAATGTAGGTAGGTATAACAGTATATTATAGGATCGAATAAATTAGGTATATCATTTTAAATGTTTCTGACATATATACATAACTATGTCATGTATAAATAATTTGAAGATGGGATCTTTCAAGTTGTCATTATGAGTGTAGGTATTGTGTTCATTAAACAATCAATATTTATAAAATAGTACGAATAAGGTTTTATAATATAATAACCATAGTATTTACTATATTAAATTTATGATTTACTGAAAAAAAAACCTTTTTATATATTGAAAATAAGTTTTGAATGCAATATAAGTATTGTAATATGTATGTAGGTATATGGACTAAACTTAAGTATCACCCCGCATGATTTTTAAGTTTTCTCTTAAATTTCATAACCAGCTTTTAGATAAGTTACTGTGGAGATGGCTGTTTAAAAATATCGAATCATATGGCTGTTTAAAAATATCGAATCACTATTACACACGCTCTCGATGTTTGTTGTGGTTTCAGTTAGCTCTAACTGTTTAATACCTTTTATTTTATTTTATTTTTGGCTACCATCGTCAGTTCTAGCCACCAATTTGGTGCGTGAAAATTATTGTTATTAATTATTTTAACGTAATAATTAATTCTAATGAGCAATAAGTGAAGCGAGTTCAAATCCCGGGTCTCGCACCTCTGATATTTTCATGTGCGAATCATTTCCAACATGATTACCACTTGTCTTAACGGTGAAGGAAAACATCGTGAGGAAACCTGCACGTCTGAGAGAACCTAGCAAGTTTTCAAAAGACATGTGGAGTCCGCCAACCCGCACTTGGCCAGCGTGGTGGACTATGGCCTGATCCCCCATCGTACTGAAGGGAGGCCCGTGCCCAGCAGTGGGATGTTTAAAAAGGGCTGAATACATACAAACATACAATTAATTCTAAGTGCAATAATTTATTGGATTATTGACTGCGTTAAACATACCTATTTCTATCAAAATAAAATTATGCTTGGCCAACAAAAATTGCTTTTATTTATTTACTTTTTCATTTTTCTTTCTTTTTTTTTATTTCACTTTCATAAGTCTATGTTGATATAGAAACGAAAGTTGATTAAATTGTAATTTTAATAAGATTATTATTAATTTTTAAATTTTATAAATACTATATCAACAAACATGTTTGTCTCATTTTCTTTGTAGCGGTTAGTTAATGAATAAGAAGAAAATAAATTTTAAATAAGAATATTTTTCGTGTTTTTATTTTTATTTCGATTTTTCGTTCCCAATATTTCGAATACTTTACAGCAAGCGTGACAAGACAAAAAAAATGTTTACTGCAAAATTAAACCAACTTTATTGAAAAAAAAAATTAAAACATTTTAAATAAAAGTTATAAAACTATCTTTTCAGGTTTTTTTGCGGTTTTATTTTGATTTTTGGTTCCCGACGTTTCTAACGCTTTACACACTTTAATTAGGTTTCATAGTTATGTAACTAAACATTCTTGTATATTTTGCTGAACTGTTCAATTGGGCTTGCCTTGTGCGCATGCACTCCAGTGTGTATTTAAGATCTCAAAAATATATTTACAAATCTATTACCTTTTTCAAAAATTTAAAAAGATTTCTTACAACTATGATTTTTTAAGAATCTGTATAAAGATTCTGACAACATATTTGATATCTTAAAATATAAGTATTTTTTCATCTATACTTTTAATTCCACATTATAGCTGCTAAATTTCAAAAAACCTCACAAAACGTAACACTGGCAGAATGGATTGCGTCTGTTAACACAGTTCTAAGCCATAAAGAAAAAACATAAGTCTTTGTACAAAAAAGAAAATGGGGGTTTTTGATTTTCTACCAATTTTTAACCAATGTTGCTTTTGTTTAAATTTAAAAATTGGCTCTATCTTAATAGCTATATGGGGAATCGTAAGTATATATATAACTATAAGTAATATATATAAAACTTTAGAAAAAAAGGGTGTTTTTAGAGTAAGACTCAAAATCCCTACGGTCTACGTCAATTTAGTTAGGTTAGGTTTTTATACCTTTAGGTTTAAAAGAATATTGTCCAAAATCAAAATTAGTTTTTGCCAAATGTTTTCCCTAAGTCTAAGCTAACTCTTAAATATTAAAAAAAATCAACGTCCCGAACACGTTTTTCAAATTCAGTAAGCCTAAAATATTTTTATCACAAAAACGCAGAAGCAAATTTAATTTATATTATATATTTATATTACGTTTTTGTAAAGTATCCTTTTTTATGTTTCAGTTATCAGTTGGCAGTTTCACATATTTCGCAGCTTTTCCCGTGTGTTTCATATTGGAAGGCATTGCACTAACAATTATGAAAATTGCACGCCTTTTTGTATATTTCTGTGATGGAGTACTGTTTATTACTGCAATTATTTTTATTATTGGAGTATTTATTGTAAGCATTTATTAATATATAAATAAGCTCTATTATCTAATAAATATAATTAGGTAACATAATACCTATATCATTTAGATGTCTAACTTCTACCACTTATACACATAATATTATTAGAAGTTTTACTTAATAAATTGTATGTATGTATGTTTTCAGTCCTATTTACATCCCACTGCTGGGCACGGGATTCCTTTCAATATAATGTGGATCTAGCCATAGTCCACCAAGCTGGCTAAGTGCGGGCGGACTGAGCATGTCTTTCGAAAACTTGCTAGGTTCTCTCAGACATGCAGGTTTCCTCACGATGTTTTCCTTCACAGAAAGACAAGTGATAATCATGTTGGAATAAATCAATAAATTCTCAATAAATTACTAACGCCTAATTATTATTAATTATATCATTACAGAAAAAAAGTATTACTGCAGAAATATTTTTATTCGGAATAGCGCTCGTACTTGTTGGATATATGTTATACACAATAGCGACTGTTATTACATACATTCTACATGAGGAATGTCGTTACTTCGTCGGGCCTGAGGGTTTTACCCTCAATACCTTTCGTAAGTAACATTAAATCAGCTTAAATTTTTTTTTATATTTTTACTATAATTTGTAACATCAATTTTCCACTCTATTCCTAATATTGCACTTATATAATATTCCCTACGTTTTCTTTAATATTATCTATACCTACTAGTTCTTAATATTATCTATAACTGCTATGTTTTCCAACCTTGTAAGTTGATCATAATCTATTTAAATTGTTAGTGAAATCCTGATGACAATTCAATAAATTGATACCGTCAAGATGATCTGTAGTTGTATAGCCAAAAGTGGACTATGGCATTCTTCTTTAGTAGTAAAATCTCCAGCTAAAGACTACTACTAGACTTCTTGTAAAACTTTCGAGTCGACGTCGTCTTTTTTTCAATTAATTTTCCTGTAGGTAATAAAACAATAAAATAATATATTTTTGATATTGTTATAGTTTGGATCTACTTTATGATAATCATAAGAAGCTACAAAGAAGAAATGGAGTAACACCCCGTTCATTATGTGAAGAAAATAAAATTTAAATAATTTTTTTGTTGTTGTTTTAATCTAATTTAAATTTAAATTGTTTTTAATTAATGTACGTTTTAGGCTTCCGTATTTTGTTTTTATTTATTAATTCATTATATTTATTAATGCATATTAGCGAAATGCATTGGGCACTTCACTAGAATGCGATGTCCCTACACATAGCCCTTTGCATTAGTGGGTAGGTTACCTATGGATAGCATTTTCGTCACCGAAACGTATCTCGACCATAATGTTTGTAGAAATTAAAAATTAATGTAAAATAATTTCAAAAAATCGCCAGATAAATTGTTCTCTTTTTTTTAAGATTGAAATATTAAAAAAACGTACCAGAAAAAGCACTAAGCAAACAGTAAAACTATAAATTCCTATTTTAAATAAAACTATTTTTTCGGATTATGTCGCGGATTTATTTTGATTTTTGGTTCCCGACGTTTCGAATGCTTTGTAGAAATCATGGTCACGGAAGAGACTCCCGTAACCATGATGATCAAAATCCGAAAACATGTGTAGTTTTATTTAAAGCTAGCGATTCACCCTTGCTTCGCTCGGGTTCGTCCCTAAGTATGTTTTAACGGTTAGTATGGAATAGATAGACTACAGATAAGTATTATATATACCTATAGGTATGTATTAGGTACATACATAGGTATAATGAGGGTTTGTGGGTGTATTATACACACAGGTTATTTATAGAAGTACATATCCACACTAAAATTACTGGTTAAAATTACTGTATCGGATAAATAAACCTTAAATTGTACAATTTTCGTATCCTCTGTCGCATGTTGGTGACCAAAAACATTTGCAGCAATAAACTCAGCTCTACAAAGCTCTATCGCAATCGGATTAGTTATTGGTTTGGGAATAAATTACAAATAGATAAATATACAATTGTCATTATATAGGTACCTACTACCTATATTATTAAATATTATATTTTACCAAACAACATTATTGATAAAGATTTCATTAAGTGTGTGGTACCTATGGGTTTAATATACAAAACGAACATTTAATTTAAATAAAATATTACATGAAGATAACTTGAGCTGTCTGCTTAAAATTTAGTGTTCGATATTAAAGTCGATGATGCCTTCGCATGGAAAATGTTAATTAAGGGATTCCGTAGATTCAGTCAAAGAGCCCGCCCTTCATTAAGCCTGGGATCCTCGCATCAGCGTAAATGTCACTGTTGTAAAGGTTTTAATTATCATCCACGCCCGACCCACCGCCGACTCGATCTTCTCGTAAAAGGGTTATATCATTTGAATAAAACAAAATTTCAAGCCCCCTAATCTACTGACTCCCCTCTATGAGTTTAAAAGATTTGTAATTTATGTTTAGTATATAAATAGTAAACATAAATTACAAATCTATAATGATAGAATTTAATAATATATTAATATTAAATTATTTTTTTACATAACATATATATTTTTTTGTTGAAATAAACAAATTGTTATACGTACAACTATTTAATAGCAAATAAGCTTAGGTACAAATGAAACAAATTTTGCTCTAAATGTACTATCAATATCATAGATAATTCTATACATGACTATGTAATATTTATAAGGCAACATCAAAGGAAAATGGACGCACAACGGTACACTAGACAACGGTTCGAATTTTCTTAGAAATATCTTCGTCACGTCTCCGGCCCCGGTGGGGACGTAAAAAGAAAAGTGTATAAAGCAAAAAGAAAGTATAAAAGTATAAAGAAAGTCACTTCCCTCAGCGCGTTTCTCTCGGGTGGCACCGTTGGCTTTTATTACGACGGGCACGTGACGTGAAGGCGATCCGAGCTTAGAATTCTCATTGGTATAAGCTACCTATATATTGCTATATGTTTCCTATAAATTATAACTGATGTTTTATAAATAATATTTACTTATGCGTTTAAATATAACTACAAAACGATTCGAAGAGACTTCTAACATAATTATATTATATACATAATGGTCAATAAAGCATTAAAATAAATTAATGCAAAATTAAAAACCAAAACATAAAAATATAATTTAATACATAGGTATAATAAATACATATACCTAATAAATCGAAATAATCGAATCTGTACATTGAATATTTTTTGGAAAATCTTATTGAAATAGTCCTTATTATCGACACAGAGGCCGAATCTACATATATTATTTAGTACTTTTGTCTGTCTGTGACCGCATCACGAGAAAACCACTGAACAGATTTTGATGAAATTTGTTATGATGATAGCTGGTTATTCGGATCAATATATAGGATACTTTTTACTTCGGGAAAATATCTCATCTCTGAGAAATGTATACTAAACGTTAAAACGTAACTAGGGACGAACCCGAGCGGAGCCAGGGTGAGTCGCTAGTATAATATAAATAACAGTAAGAACAATTTTGAAGAAAACATTTATTTTAAAATGTAGTAAGCCATTTTTAAGTAACTTTTGTTCTATGCATATATGTATAATATTATGCAAAACAAAACGGAGGAACGGGAAAATGCCGTCCCTCGGGCCATATTCATAACGGACATAAAAAAGGTCTTCGCAATTCAAGGCAATATTTCCTTTACAGCATATCTTTAGATTTGTTTGCCATGTTCAAGTAGTTTTTACTTTAGAGTCATAATAAGAAGAAAAAATAACATTTGTTAACTACATTACCTATACCTAAGTAGGTAGGTATAGGTACCTATTTATGCAACACATAGGTATGTATAAGAGATTACTCATGTGCAATATACCAAATCATTTTATATTCTAAGTATTTTTTAGAGAGGTGCCTACCTACCTATCTTAATGTTAAAACTGCCTTTTTATTTAGGTAAGATATTGTAACTTATTCACTTTAGTCTGTATATTCTCGCGCAATCAGATCCTTAAAACATTTTAGTAAATAAAAATTAATTGATTTAAAACTAAAATTCTATATATATGTGCAATAAGTAATAGGTATTATTAATTTATTTGTTAGTTTAAAGACATTATAAGTACCTATCAAAAAACAAAAACACCCGACGGAGATATGCCGACGGATAAAATAAAACTTTCGAAGTAGTCATCTATGAGTAGCATTGTGGGGAGAATATAAATTAAAACATATTTTATAATGCCTACTTTTTATTATACCTAAATCTATGCCTAATATTTAAAGAGAAAAAATTGTATTTTTTTGCAAGTTTGTTTGTAATGGATAAACTTAAAATCCTCAGAACTGATTTAGATGAAATTTGGTATGAAAATAGTTTAAGACCCTCGGAAGAACATAGCACAGTTTTTATACCGGAAGTCATCTCTTAAGGGGATGACAAGGGGGATAAAATTTGTATGGGGAATCAGTCATTTCTCAATCAAGGGATATAAAACTCATCATACCTATGTTTACTAATATAATCTATGTATTCCATACCAACCGTTAAAATGTGCCTGGAGACGAACCTGGTCGAACATAGGTCATTTTAATTTAAGTAGATACCTAAGGATGCATATTTTCATACCTACTTATCTGTTTATTTTTTACTAGCATTGCCCGCGGCTCCGCCCGCGTTCAGATGACCAAAAATTAAATTCTTAGGTGTTACATATTAGTATACTCTTACATTGCAGTTTTTGTATTTTTCCTCAGAAATAAGATATTTTCCCGCGGTAAAAAGTATCCTAGGATCACGCGCTACATCGCCCGGTTTATATAGCTTGAGCAGGCGGTCGAGCGATGCGGGGCAGAGGGGATGGACTCGCCGTAGGCATCTCAATGCTCGCCAAGCATTAAAAATGTTTCGCTACTAATTACTTCTAACAACGATATCTCAAAAACTATTCATCTGATTGATTTAGTGTAAAGAGCAATTTTAATCTGCATTAAATGACTAAGCTAACTAAAATATTCATTTGGATAAGGATTAATACCGAACTAAAGAAAATAACTTTGAAAATAACGTAATGTTTTTAATTAAAAATGTTAACATAAAAGTGGTTATTGTAAGTCAACCGTAAGAGATAGAGATATGCTATCGCGGACTTTTTTGTAGCATTTTTATAGATTTTGAATTCTCTAGTACATTACTTAACTGTATCTTTGCTAGTTTACGCGGCGTTCGCGTGGAAAGTTCCCATTTGGCGAGATTTTTTGCGACCTCTTCAACATTTGTCGCCGTATTTCAGCTAATTTACATAAAAGCATAATAAATTATATACCTAAACCTTCCTCAAGAATTACTCTTTCTATTGTTGAAAACCGTATAAAAATCCGTTCAGTAGTTTTCGAGTTTATCGCGTACAGACAGACAGGAGGACAGACAGGAGGACAGAAAGACGCGGCCGGGGGACTTATTTTTATAATAAGTATAGATAGATAGATATTTATCAAGATTTATTGTGATTTTCATTATTAAGAACTAAATTTACTTAGACATGTTAATAATAAGTTAAAATCTTTCAACCGAAAGTTTTATGTGTCTGTATGAAGTACCTAGTTTTTAAGAATAAACTTACTATATTCAGTTTACTACTTAATTTCTGAAAATTGATATTTTAAAATAAATCATATTTAAAAAAAATACACAATTTTACCAGCGCCATCTCTGTATTAATATAGTTAAAGGAGCAAAATAACAGCAAGACGCATGCGCGAATCAAAAATGGCCGCCAATCAATACGTGACCGCCACCCTATTCCCCCTTTTCGTGGAAGCTGATCTAAACACTACCTTCACCACAGAAATACACCTTAAAACTAGAGTAATAAGCTTGAAAATTATATTGAAATACTATTGAAATCTTAATAACTGGATATCTTTTGTCCGTCTACCTATCAAATGAGATAGGTTATCTGTAGATATTATAGTTAGACAGTTCGCTAGACATTTAGGGCTTTCGTAAATTTATCTTTCTAAGCACTTGCTGCCACGATACTAGCTTATGCGCGTATTTTATAGCAAGCAATGCAGGTTTAGATGTGTATGTTT